GTGTGGGGACCGGGTTGTGTGAGGGCCGGGGGCCGGGGGCCAGGGTGTGTGGGGACCGGGTTGTGTGAGAGCCGAGGGCCGGAGGATGGGGTGTGTGTGGGCCGGCGTGTCTGAGGGCCAGGGTCCGGGCGGGGGTCAGGGTGTGTTGGGTCTATGGGGTCTGTAGTCTGCGGGGTCGGCGGCCGGCAGCAGCCGCCCGGAGTCTAGGCCGTGCAGCGCCCTCACGTCCCCTCAGATGAAATCGGCCAAGACTGCGCGGCAAGCGGGCGGGTGGAGGCATCTGGGTTCCCGCCCCAGGCACCCAGTTACCAGAGCCATTGGGGCCGATGATACAGGTGAACCTCTTGAAAGGTCCGATGAGTTGGCGGCCCCGCCACGACTTGAAATTCTCCACGAGCAGTAGCTCTAGGTGACCCATGGCTGCGCCTCCCCGCCTCAGCCCTGTCCTCACACGCTGACCGCAAAAGCGCGGGAAGCCCCTCACGCGTCTCGCGAGAAGAGAGCGAGAGGGCCCGAGCGCGCGGCGCTGTTCCTTAGCAACCTGTGCTGTTAACATCTCCCGAGACTGCGGGCGGAGCCGTTGGTAACGTCGGGCAAAGCCCAACTGGAAGGCCTCCTAGGGAGGCGGCCTCGTCCGGACTACAGCTTGTTTTACTTTCGTTGTCTTTTCTTTTTATCTTGTATATCCTAAAACCCCTGTAGAATTTCTTGGCGACTCCCAGCGCCATGGAGATAGCGCTGCCCAAGGACCTGGCGCAGGACGTTGGCCTGGCCAAGAGGAGGCAGGGGGAGCTGTGCAGGCAGAAACGGATCTTCGACGCCAGGAAGAGGATCATCGGGGTGAGGCCCTTGGCCCGAAAGGGAGAGGGCTGGGAGGGAATGTGGAGAGGGCAGGCGGCGAGAGAGATAAGGAGATGAACTGTTGGAGTGAAACCTTTGGTTTTTTGGTCCAGAAAGAGCTGCAGGGATGGGGTGTGTGTGTGACAGTTCCATGTATTGAATTTGCAGAGGATGGGAGAGATCTCAGCTGACCAAACAGTGCAGCCCTCACTTGCCACATGGCAAATTGAGACCCAGAGCGGGGAGGGGGCTTGCCCGGAATAAAAGAGCAGCCAGACATTGGAAAGCGGTTCCCTCTTTATGAGCCAGATTTTCTACATTGCCGGGGGCTTCTTCCTGTCCGTTTATTTAACAAATGCACACGGGGTTCCTATTTTGTGGCAAACCTGAGCTGACCTCAGGAGATGAGGACTAGGCAGTTCCTGACACTGCAGAAGAGTCCGTGGGTGATGCCAAAGCTTAACGGGCTCGCTGCTAACGGAAAAGAAAAGTTTGAATCCACCCAGAGGTGCCTCAGAAGAAAGGACTGGTGATCTACTTCCAAAAAATCAGCCAGGGAAAACCCTATGGAGCACAGTTCTACTCTGACACATATGGGGTCTGTATGAGTTGGAATTTGCTGTATGGCAACTGTTTTTTCTCCCCCCACCCCCAACCTTGAAGAGCTCATGGCTCCAGTGGAAGCTGCTGGCGTGAAAACAGACGTGCAGTGGAATCAGTGCTGTGAAGGAGGCGAGCTCAAGGATTATAGACTGGGGCTGGGAGGGGAAGTCAGAGAAGGCTTCCTGGAGGAGGTGGTGCCTAAGCAGCCATTTTGAGGATGCGTGTTAACCAAGGGGGAAGAAAGCTCTGAGGAAAGTACAGGCTGAAGAACTCACAAGAAGCAGAGGCATCCGGGCATGAAAAGGCCTGATGTGCCCTCAGACAACACATTTTCAATGGGATAAGCCTACAAGATAAGTAGGATTGTTATCAACTGAATAAAAGCATCTGGCTCTAACCCCTCTCCCCGTGTTTTCTATACCCAGGGAGACCCAGAAGCCTGGGATGTCCAGGTTCACGACCAGAAGATAAAAGAAGCAACAGAAAAAGCTAGACATGAAACCTTTGGTGAGCATTTTCCAAATGCCTATCTAGGAGCTTAGGGCTGTGTGACTTTCAACTCCTACCCTCATTTCTTCATATACGTAAAAAGTTGTCATTTTCATGCTCCTCCTTCTTTTAATGGTGCAGGACAAGGCAGTGTTTCGTTCTGTTGTCCACAGGATCGCTGTGAGTCAGAACTGGCTCGATGCCACCCAACAACAACAGCAACAACCTCCTTTTAAAATTTCACAATTTATTGGGCCCAATTGACTTAATGAGTGAATTCTTCCTCTTTTAAAAACAGCTATATGAATTTTCATGTGGATTGAAGGAAATATATTTTAAGGGTAGAAGCCTGATTTTCTCAAAAAACTAGATATGAAAAGCCTTAAAACACACACACATACACACACACACACACTCACACACAAACACATGCTGGCGTTCTCTGCCAGGCTGTTCCCTGGAGGACAGCTGTGTACAACAAAATGTCCAGGGTTTATACCAGATAACACACACATACAGCCAAGCTCACGCTCTTGAGCTGACTCAGAGATGGATTCAAGCAGGTGTTCTTGCCCTTAGATGGAGTCCTTGGGTGGTACAAACAGTTAACACGCTCAGCTGCTAACCAAAAGGTTGGAGGTTTGAGTATACCCAGAAGTGCCTCAGAAGAAAGGCCTGGCAGTCTACTTCCAAAAAATCAGCCATTAGAAACCCTGTGGAGCACAGTTCTACTCAGACACACATGCCCGTGGTTGCCATGAGTTGTATTTGACTCCATGGAAACTGGTTTTCTTTCTTTCTTTTTAGCTTTTAGATTAAAAATTCAGATATAATTCATCTCCCCGCTTCAAGTCCATGGTTCCAACATTTTTTTTTTTAAAACACAAAAGGATTTTTGAAATAGGAAAAAAAGGGCTACTAAATTATACATACAGTGGATTGTCAGTTGGTTAAAAAATATACACAGAAAAAAAGCGGAAGGAATTATACCAAAATATTTGCGGTTGTGTGCCGTCAAGTGGATTCTGACTCATAGTGACTATAGGATGGAGGACAACTGCCCCATAGGGTTTTGTAGGCTGTAATCTTTACAGGAGAAGATCGCTGGGTGGATTCAAACCTCGAACCTTTAGGTTAGCAGCCAAGCACTTAACCATTGCCACCAGGGCTCCTTACCAAAATATTAATAGTGGTAATTTTGAGGTGATGGAATTATGAGTAAAGTTAATTTTCTTCTTTATAATTTTCTGTACGTTTCAAGTGTTTTACCTTTTTTTTGTTTTTAGTTATAAAATTCAGTGTTACAAAAATCTATGTGATGGACACATACATACCTACCACCAGACTACGCGTAACATTTTCCAAATTGACTTCAGATATTTTAAGAATTTTTTTGAGAATTAAACATTTATACATATATACACACATACACACGTGTATATGTGTGTACATACATACATGTACAGATATAAATTTACAAAAAACATAAACATACACATATCCCTGAGTGGTACAAACAGTTAACATGCTCAACTATTAACCAAAATGTTGGCAGTTTGACCCTACACAGAGGTGCCTTGGAAGAAAGGCCTGGCGATCTATTTCCAAAAAATCAGCCACTGAAAACCCTAAGAAGCACAGTTCTACTCTGATACAGACGGGGTCGCCATGAGTTGGAGTTGACTCCTTGGCAACTGGTATATCTATCTATCTATCTCTGTATATCCATATATCAGATATATATAGCTATATCTAAGGAGCCCTGGCTGCTAACCAGAAAGGTCAGCAGTTCGAACCCACAAGCATGGGAGAAAGATGTGACAGTCTGCTTCCATAAAGGTTTACAGCCTTGGAAACCCTAGGGGCAGCTCTGCTCTGTCCTATAGGGTCCCTATGAGTTGGAATTGACTCAGTGTCAGTGGGCTTTATATCTGTATGGCTGAAGCCCTCCCACATCTCATCATTTTCCTCTTCCTCCTTCCTCCGAGGTGTGCATCATTCCCATGCACGTTTTTTGTACTTTTTTTTTTTGTTTTTTTGTTTTTTGTACTTTTGATGAATCCATAATACCAAAGAAGCATTTTTGTGTGCTTCAAAATTTACAACAATGCTATCGTATTGAATGGATCCTTTTTGACTTTATATTTTTGATCCCTTTTCACTCAACATTGTATTTTTGCGATTAATCAGGGATCTACATAGAGTATTCTTTTTCATTGTCTTACTGCAGTTTGTTACACGAATTAACCACGATTTCTTTATCCATTCCCCTCCTGGTTGCTGATTTAATTTTTTAGAATTACAGACAGTGTTGCATCGACTAGCCGTGTGTCCGTCGGGCACGTGTGTGAGAGATACGGAGAAGTGGAACTGATAGGTTGTAGAGTATGCATAATTTCAGTGTCGGGATATTGCCAAATTGCTTTAGAAAGTGCACTGAGTACACGTTCACAAGCAGTGAACAAGAGACCTTGTTTCCTCACATCTTACTAGTAAAAAATCAAACCCGCTGCTGTTGAGTCGATTCTGACTGATAGCGACCCTATAGGACAGAGTAGAACTGCCCCAGGGGGTTTCCAAGACTGTAAATCTTTACAGGACTAGGCGCAGGACCAGGCAGTGTTTTGTTTTGTTATTCATAGGGTCGCTGTCATGGATAAAATTGTGTCCCCCCAAAATATCTGTCAACTTGCCTGGGTCATGATTCCCAGTATTGTATGATTGTGTACCATTTTGTAATCTGATGTGATTTCCTTATGTGTTGTAAACTCTATCACTATGATATAATAAGATGGATTAGCGGCAGTTATACTGATGAGGTTTACAAGATTAGATAGTGTCTTAAGCCAGTCTCCGTTGAGATATAAAAGAGAGAAGTGAGCAGAGACACATGGGAACCTCATACCACCAAGAAAGCAGTGCCAGGAGCAGAGTGTGTCCTTTGGACCTGAGGTTCCTGCACAGAGAAGCTCGAAGACCAAGGGAAGATTGATGACACGGACCTTCCTCCAGAGCCAGATGGAGAAGGTGTTCCCCCGGAGCTGGCGCCCTGAATTTGGACTTGTAGCCTACAGGACTGTGAGAGAATAGACTTGTCTTTGTTAAAGCCATCCACTTGTGGTATTTCTGTTAGAGCAGCACTAGATGACTAAGACAGTCACTATGAGTCGGAACCAACTCGATGGCACCTAACAACAACAACAAAATCTTTATGGGAGCAGACTGCCACATCTTTCTCTCATGGAGTGGCTGATGGGTTCTAACTGCCGATCTTTCGCTTAGCAGCCAAACACTTTAACCGCTTCTTACCTTACTAATAACCAAAAAAAAAAAAACCAAACCCGTGCCATCAAGTGGATTCCGACCCATAGCAACCCTATAGGACAGAGTAGAACTGCCCTAGAGGGTTTCCAAGGAGCAGCTGGTGGATTCGAACTGCCAACCTTTTGGTTAACAGCCAAGCCGTTAACCACTACACCATCAGGTCTCCACCTTACTAATACTTGCTGTTAAATATTTTGCCAACTCGTTGGATGTTTCCCATTCTGTAAGGCTGTTGATCTTTTCACCAGTTTATTGATCCTTCAGGTTTCTTTTAGTGATTTGCCTGTCCCTATCCTTTGCCCATTTTTTAGTTGGGTTGTTATTTTAATTGATTTGTAGGTGCTCTTTGTATATTAAGGATAAAACCAGTTGTGTTTGAGTCAATTCTGACTCAGGCTGACCCCATGTGTGTCAGAGTAGAACTATGCCCTATAGGGTTTCCAATGGCTGATTTTTCGAAAGTAGATCACCAGGCCTTCCTAGGTGCCTCTGGGTGGACTTGAACCTCCAACCTTTCAGTTATCAGCAGAGTGCATTAACCATTTGCACCACTCAGGGACTCCATAGTAAAGATACTAATCCTTTAATGGTTCTGTTTCCTTTTTGGAGGGCTGTATTACTGTTATAATCCTTAAAAAATTTTAAAGTGGATTTAAACTAATTTTCTCCTCTGAATCTTAAGCTTATGATATACTACATCTCTTCTAGCTGCTGAAATGAGGCAAAATGACAAAATCATGTGCATATTGGAAAACCGGGAACGGAGAGATAGGAAAAATCTCTGTAGAGCTATCAACGACTTCCAGCAGACCTTTCAGAAGCCAGAAACTCGCCGTGAATTTGACTTGTCTGATCCCCTAGTCCTTAAGAAAGATCTCCCAGCCCGGCAGTCAGATAATGATGTTCGGAATTCAATGTCAGGAATGCAGAAATTCATGGGGGAGGATTTAAACTTCCACCAGAGGAAGAGATTCCAGCAGGAACAGAACAGAGAATGGTCCTTGCAGCAGCAAAGAGAATGGAAGAACGCCCGTGCCGACCACAAACTTGCAGGTAATGAAGCAAAAAAAAGACACCCTGATTTCAACGCTTGCTTCACCAGATCAGCCCCTGGGTCTCTTGTCCTTGTTGTTGTTATCTGCCGTGGAGTTGGCCCCCAACTCATGGCGACTCCATGCCTGATGTGATTGGACTGCTGTGATCCACAGGGTTTTTGGAAGTAGTCTGCCAGGCCTTTTTTCCTAGCCTGTCTTAATCTGGAAGCTCCATTGAAACCTATTGAGCATCCTAGCAACACGCAAGCCTGCACTGACAGATGGGTGACGGCTGCGCATGAGGTGCACTGGCCGGGAGTCAAACCCGGGTCTCCCACACGGAAGGCGAGAATTCTATCACTGAGCCAGCTGGGTCTTTGAGGTCATACTGATACGCGCAGCCACATGGTGCACTGGCCATGTGGGGAGGGAGGAGATGTCAGCAGCCTGCAATCCGGGAATAAACATCTCCAGCCACACATCGGTCACCCAGGAAACTCTTTCTGAGGGTGCACTCTGTGTTGGGGCCCCAGTTGGGTGCTGGAATACAGAGGTGACTCAGAACAAGTCCCTGCCCTGAAAGTGCACAGTCTGCTGAGGAAGATGAGTGTGAAATACCTGGGCCCACCTTCGTGTCCTAGGTACTGTGGTAGAAGTTCTACAGGGTGCCATGGGGCACCACCAAGGGCAGGGTGGCCACACATACTCACAGGACTCTCCTGGCCCAGGGAGCCTCTCGGGCAAAGGCTCTGAGCCGTGAAACAGCCTTTGTCCTTGAGGGAGCTACTAAAAGTTCACTAACTCCTGCTTTTACCGAGGTCAGCCCCTTCTCTCATGCACTCTCAGCAGCACTGACCCCCTGCCCGTTCCTGTGCCAGGCACTCTCATGGCTGGGAGGCACAGCAGTGAAGAAGAAGAGTCCCTGCTCCCATGGAGCTGGTCAATGGTGTCTTAGTTCTCTAGTGCTGCTGTAACAGAAATACCACAAGTGGATGGCTTTCACCAACAGAAGTTTATTCTCCATCTATCTTCCCCTGGACTAGGAGCTTCTCTGTGCAGGAAACCCAGGTTCAAACGACGCGCTGTGTTCCCGGCGCTGCTTTCTTGGTGGTATGAGGTCCCCGTGTCCCTCTGCTCGCTTCTCTCTTTTATGTCCCAAAAGAAACGGGCTCAAGACACAGTCCAGTCCTGTAGGTTGAGTCTTGCCTCATCAACACAACTGCCGCCCGTGCCCCCTCATTAACATCATAGAGGCAGGATTTATAACACAGGAAAATCCCATCAGGTGACAAAATGGTGGACCATCACACACTACCGGGAATCACGGCCTAGCCAAACTGATACACACATTTTGGGGGGACACAATTCAACCCCTGACAAACGGGTAGTGAGATAACAAAGAGGAGCCACGATGAGGACAAAGACGTACCAAGGCGCTTGGACAGGCCGTGATGCACTTCCACTCTGGTGGTGGCAGTTCATCCTCCTCCCAGCCTGGCCTCTAAAGGTTGGAAGTTCAGGGCCTGCTGAAGGCCCTCTTCTTTTCTCACTCCATTCCCCATGAGCGGTGTCTCCCAAATCATCTTCTCCCGTCCCCTCCCACCAGCCTTCTGCCCTCACCCCTTTTCTGAAACTGCTCTGGTCAACATTACCAGTGACCTCCACGTTGCCGGATCCAAGGTCGGTTTTCAGTCTTCATCTTGACATGTCACCACGCATGTCTTGGTCATCTAGTGCTGCTTTAACAGAAATACCACAAGTGGATGGCTTTAACAAAGAGAAATTTATTCTCTCACAGTCCAGTAGGCTACAAGTACAAATTGAGGGCATCAGCTCCAGGAGAAGTCTTTCTCTCTCAGTTGACTCTGGAGAAAGGAAGGTCCTTGTGATGCATCAGTCTTCCCTTGGTCTGGGAGCATCTCAGCGCAGGAACCTCAGGTCCAAAGGACGTGCTCTGCTCCCAGCACTGCTTTCTTGGTGGTATGAGGTTCCTATGAGTCTCTGCTCGCTTCTCTCTTTTATATCTCAAAAGAGATTGGCTTAAGACAGTATCTAATCTTGTAGATCTCATCAATATAACTGCCACTAATCCATCTCATTACATCATAGTGATAGAATTTATAACACAGGGAAATTACATCATATGACAAAATGGTACACAATCATACAATACTGGGAATCATGACCCAGCCAAGTTTACAGATATTCCGGGGGGACACAGTTCAATCCATGACCACGTGTGACACAGTTGACCACCTCCTCCTCCTTGAAATACTTCCTTTGTTCTGGCCTCCAGGGCACCACCTCATCCTGGCTCTCTTCTCCCAGGCTTCTTTGTTGGTTATTGTTCATCTTCTGAGCCTCTCGATGTTTCCACCGGCATTCTCTGGACCTCTCCACTAGCAACTGGACACCTCCCCTTGGTGATCTCATCTAGTGTCATGGTTTTAAATACCACCCTTATGCCGTCATTTCCCAAGTTGACATCTCCAGCCTAGACTCGTCCCTGAACCAGACTCACAAATTCAGCTGCTTCTGGACATCTAACTCCTCTTGGGTGTCAAACTAACATGCTATATTAAATGAGTTCAGTAATATGCTCCTGATCTGATAAAACCTGACCTCCCCACCGCCATCAATGACATTCCATTTTTCCACTTGCCCAGCCCTGAAACCCAAGTCATCTGGACCCTTCTTTCTCTCAAATGCCACACCAGGGCCATCAGCAAATCATCTCAAATGTCACCTACCTTGTCACCACTTCCCATCACCTCTCTGTGTAAGCTAACAACATCTCTCTAACTCACCAACTAACTGGTCTCCCTGCTTCCACTCATATCGCCTACGGTCTCTTCTCAACCCAGAAGCCAGAGCCATCCTGTCAAAAGTTTAGTCAACTCCTTTGCTCAACACCCTCCAACAGTTTCCTGTCTCAGAGTAAAAGCCAAATTCAGTTCAAGGCCCTCAAGGTCTTCATAGCCTGGCCTTATCACCAGTTGCTCTGCCCTTGGCTCACTCTTGCCACACCAGCCTTCCTCCCTGTTCCAGTCTGTGGTGGTCTTCGCCAGCCCTTGTGAGCACCGAGTGAGTGCCCAGCCCCTACCTAAGAGCTTGGTTAGAACCAGCTCTTCTAATGCTCACGGCAGCCTCCAGGTGGGACCTGTCACGGTTCCCCTCCCCATTCTTGGGGACCAGGCGCAATAGTAAAGGAAGTATGAGCAGCCCAGTGGGGTGCCTGTGCGGGCGGGGGCTCCGGGCAGGTTCACTGAGCACCATCCCCCTTTCAGAGGCCCTGCACACACAGACGCGGCTGCAGCTTGACCACACGGCGCGGCACCTGCAGACACTGGAGGGCTCCACCAGGAAGGCCGTGTGTGCGGCGGTAAAGGAGTTCAACAGGAACCAGGTATGGCTCTGCGTCTGGGGGTTGCGCTTATGGCCCCTGACCCTTCTGCGGGTCCCCGGGATCCCCCTGACTGAGCCCTGCATGGGGCCCTGTGCAGGGTGCCATTACAGAGGCCAATGAGACCTAGCCCCTGCTCCTTAGCTCTGAATCCCCCCCAAAAAACCAAACCCATTGACGTCAAGTCGATTCCAACTCATAGTGACCCTATAGGACAGAGTAGAACTGCCCCATAGGGTTTCCAAGGCTGTGATCTTCATGGAAGCAGACTGCCACACTTTTCTCCCGTGGAGTAGCTGGTGGGTTCGAACCGCTGACCTTTTGGTTAGCAGTTGAGTGCTTAACCACTGTGCCAACAGGGCTCTCCTTAGCTCTGAGCTGGGAGGGAAACTTGACAGACCCAGCCCTGTGACCTGGGGGAGTCGTTCACCTGTCCAACCGCAGCCTCTGGTAAGTGAGGACAGTAACGCCTTTACTGGAACCACTGGCCTTGCTCAGATGCCTGGTGTCGGCAGCCTTGGCTTCAATTCCTCTTTCCTACCTCTGAGTTCCTTTTTTTTTTTTTTTAACAAGAGTAAGTACTTCAAAACAGAAAAGAACAGTTGCCATGAATCATCACTGACTCATATGACCCCAAGTGTGTCAGCATAGAACTGTGCTCCATCGGGTTTTCAGTGGCTGATTTTTGAGACGCAGATTGCCAGGCCTTTCTTCTGAGGCAGCTGTGGATGGACTTGATCTTCCAACCTTTTGGTTGGCAGCTGAGCATGTTAACTATTTGAAGCATCCAGGGACTCTACTGTGGTGAGAAACACCCCCAAATCTCAGTGGCTTAAACCAAAAAGTTTGTGTTCTGCTCTCACTCCATGTCCATTGTGGGCTGGCTGGGCGACTCTACGCCTGATCCGCACTCTGGACCCCACGTCCAGGGGCAGAGCAGCTACCATCTGGAGGAGTCCATCTGCGAACAGAGGAGAGGGTGGCTAGCTCCACCCTGGCTCCTACAGCTCCCTCCCAGCGGTGAGGCCCATTACTTCCACTCTCATTTCTTTGGCCAAAGTAAGGCACGTGGCCTCACCAGCTCTCAGCTGGCAGAGAAGGGCAGTTCTGCCTCATGCCCGAGAGAACACTGCGCCCGTTAGTGATCAGTGGCAATGATTGTCACACTCGCTCTCGTGGGCGTTGTGAGGATTAAAGACACGTGATAGGAGTCGTTAGGTGGCGCAGATGGTTAAGCGCTCAACGACGCGCTGAAAGGTTGCTGGTTTGAACCCTCCCAGAGGTGCCTTGGAAGCCGGGCCTTGCGATCTGCTTCTGAAAGGTCACAGCCTTGAAAACTCTATGGAGCAGTTCTACTCTGCACTTATGGGGTCTCCATGAGTCGGAATTGACTCAACAGCAACAATACACGTCATAGGCTTAGAACAGGACTCAGTAATCCATTTTTCTTGTTATTGTGGTAAATATATATGTAACAAAATCATCTGCCACTTAAGCATTCTTCACCTGTACAATTCAGTGACATTAGTTATGTTTATCATGTTGTTTAACCATTATCATTATCCATTTCTAAATTTTTCCATCACCCCTAACAGACGCTCAGTGTCCCCTAAGCAGTGAATCCCATCCCCCCACTCCCCGATAGCCACTGATAGACTTTGGTTTCTTTACACTTGCCAGTTCTAGACATTTCATACATGTAACAGTCATTATCCTTAGTCCTAGCTACACTTCACTGCTATTACTAGTCACTGTCTCAACAACCCCACCAGAGAGGCATGGTTAACCCACTCGAATGTATACAGAAACAGGCCCAGAGGGGAGAACTGGCTTTCTCAGGGCCACCGAGTACCAAGTAGCAAGTCCAGGACTTGAATCAGGGCCGGTCCAGCTGCAAAGCATGTGCTTATGCAACACCAGGGAGCTGGCCTCCCGTGGGCACCTGCGGGGAGCTAGGCGCCTCGCCGAGGGCCCTGTCTCCTCAGTACTAGGGGGCAGTGGTGCACTGACAACCTCTCCTAACTCTCCCCAACTTTACAGAGAAATGACCACAGCCCAGAGAGGGCAGGCGGCTTGCTCCAGGTCACATAGCACTCACTGCCCCCACTTGAGCAAGGACTTGACCAGGGGTTTATCTGTGACTGAAGGGCATCAGCAGCATTGCGTGACAATGTGTCTGCCTCCCTTTAGAGGACACCTCTGTTGTGAATCACGCTGCTGGGTGTTCTTTGTGGCCCATGGACATCCAGGGGTTGCCAAGACCACAGGCAGGGGCACAGAGCCCTCGCCTGGGGTGGGGCCAAGCCGATGGAGATGTAGCCTAACGGAAAAGACAGCTCCCTGCTTTGGAAAATTGGTGCAGACAAAGCCAGTAGCTTGACCAGCGGCGAGCCCCTCCTTCCAGCCCACCCCACCCAGCATCACCCAGGCAGCAGGGGGTCTATGTCACTCCACCCTACCCGTACCCCACCTGCCCAAGAGCATTCTTCCCTCCAGGGCTGCCTGTGAGATTTGGCCAACCTGTGCCCCCAAGCCCACCTGGGGCCACTTGCAGTGTCTTCCCTAATGTCTTCTGCATAGGCTCTGGAGTCGGCAGCAAGGAGAAGGCGGGAGAAAAAACAAGAGCAAGAGGACAACCTGGTCGAAATCTCCAGCCTGCTGCGCGGGGACCTGCTCTCAGAGAACCCCCAGCAGGCGGCCAGCTCCTTCGGGCCCCACCGCGTGGTCCCCGACCGCTGGAAGGGCATGAGCCAAGAGCAGCTGGAGCAGACGCGCCTCGTTCAGAAGCAGCAAGTCCAGGAGAAGCTGGTGGCCGCCCCTCACTCCCAGCAGAGCCCCCACTCTGCGGCTCAGAGTCCTCCAGGCTGCCCTTGGGAGGTTCCGCTAGTGCCCTCGGGAGTTTCCGCCAGTGCAGGAGTCCTCGAGGCTGCCCTCGGGCGTTTCCGCCTGTGCAGGAAGGGTGGGTGGGAGCCGTGATAGCGTCAGTGCAGGCGCAGTGGGCGGCAGGTGCTAGAGAGGAAGGCCAAGCTAGGCAGAGGGGAGGCGAGTGCTGGGCGCGAGGAGGGTGGTGGGGGCCTCATGAGAAGTGACACTAGAGCAGAGACCCAACGACGGGGTCTGTTTTTCTGTGCATGGAGATCATTTGGAAAATTGGGATCATGCCCCACGTGGTTCCACATTTTTGTCGAAAGCATCTGTGGGACTGCCCAGGGCACCTGGGAGCAGCCCTAGTGTACAGGTGAGGAAACTGAGGTTCAGAGGAGTCCAGTGGCTGGCCCTGGAGGTGGCAAAGCCAGGCCCCAGCCTGCCTTCCGTTCCTGGGGGCTGAGCCTCTGCCAGCTTGCCCCCTCCTGGCTGACACAGGCCTGCAGGCCCACTGGACACCCCTAGCCATGATGGGAGGGAGGAAACCCTCCTCTAAGACCCTAGGTGTGGAGGAGGAAATTATCTGCAGCTCCTGTCCGGCCCCTTCTGCTTTCTGTTGCTCCTCAGGAGAAAAAACAAACCAAAAAAACCCCCCAAATCCGTTGCAGTCTAGTCGATTCTGACTCATAGTGACCCTATAGGACAGAGTAGAACTGCCCCATAGGGTTTCCAAGGAGCAGATGGTGGATTCGAACTGCTGACCTTTTGGTTAGCAGCTGAGCTCTTAACCATTGCACCACTAGGGAGGAGTTCACACTCAAGATGGCCGATGGAACTGATCCCATGCTGGAGGTGACTCCTGCCCTCAGCACCAACCCAGCGGCCTCTTAGGGTGCAGCAGGTTTTATCGAAGGATCTGAAGTGCAAAGAGGAATGGGCCAGGCTGGGCCCGCCCTCAGGGCCGTGACTCGTGGTCGCCGGGTGGGTATGCAGCATCACTGTGGAGCAGCAGCCCACTGGTAGCGTCCGGGCACCGTCATATCTGCTAACCAACCCCAGGCGCCCATGGATGCCTGGCACAGCAGAGCCCACGTGGCCTGCAGTTGGAGCCAGGAGCACTGCGGGGTTGGAACTGGTCCCTCAGTGTGGGGGGCAGCTTGGACCCCTGCAGCACAGAAGCTTGGTCCCTGCAGTATGGCAACTTGGCTCCGATAGCATGGCAGCCGGGCCCCTATAGCATGACAGCATGGCCCCCATAGAATGGCAGCTTACCCCATATACGATGGCAGCTTAGCCCCCATAGAATGGCAGCTTGGCCCCTATAGCATGGCACCTTGGCCCCCATAGCCTGGCAGCATGGCACCCATAGCATGGCAGCTTGGCCCCCATACAGTGGCAACTTGGCCCCCATAGAATGCAGCTTGGCCCCCATAGAATGGCAGCTGGGCCTCTATACAGTGGGAGCTTGGCCCCCATAGAATGGCAGCTTAGCCCCTATACAATGGCAGCTTGGCCCCCATAGAATGGCAGCTTAGCCCCCATAGAATGGCAGCTTGACCCAATACGATGGCACCTTGGCCCTATACAATGGCAGCTTAGCCCCTATAGAATGGCAGCTTAGCCTCGATACAATGGCACCATGGCCTCCATAGAACTGTAGCTTAGCCTCTCTATACAATGGCAGCTTGGCCCCTATCCAACGGAGCTTGGCCCCTATATAAGGGAGCTTGGCCCCTATACTATGGCAGCTTGGCCACTAAACTATGGCAGCTTCGCCCCTGCGGTATGCAGCTTGGCACTTATAGCATGGCAGCTTGACCCCTATAGCATGGCAGCTTGGTCCCTGCGGTATGGCCTTTATAGCATGGCAGCTTAGCCCCTATAGCATGGCAGCTTGTCCCCCATAGAATGGCAGCTTAGCCTCGATACAATGGCACCTTGGCCTCCATAGAATGGCAGCTTAGCCTGTCTACAATGGCAGCGTGGCCCCCATAGAATGGCAACTTAGCC